TACAAGAAGTAAAGCCATGTTGTTATGTTGAGCTGTAGGGGACTCAGGTCAACAATTTCTGACACCGCCAGTCAAGCAGAAGACCCAATACTATTATGGATTACTGGACTCTTAGAATATTTTTGCTGAGTTAACACACCTATAATATTCGAATGATGGAACTAAACAAAAAGGGATATATAAATGAATGTCCATTTTGTATATGTGTATTCAAAATGGCTAGGATAGAAGTATAGTTACATTCTCTTAAAGAATAGAGGAATTTGTTGTAATAGTGTTTGTAAATAGGATATCATGTCTGCATCTTGTACAGCAAATAACCACTAGGAAGACAGTATGCAATGTGTTAATTATTAAAACTGTCCTACCAGTTTGATTTGAAACTGTCTCATTGCTATTTGTCTCTCAATAAAATTATGGAAAAAAGAAAGAAAAGAAAAAGATTCCATTAGCCAACAGACACCAGTGATTCTGTTAGTGGTCATGGAAATCCTTCCGTGTTATAACCTTTCTCTCACTAGCCACAGAAGTTTTCAAAGATAAGTTCAGGTTAACTTATTTTTCTTTATTTTGTATTTTATTACTTTGTGTTGTATAAATATTTGAATATGTTTGAGTTATAGGACGAATCATCTGAGTTTAGATTACTTATTATGAGGAAATTTCATTTAAAGTACAAGTGCTTTAGATTACAAGCATTTTTCTGAAATGAATTATGCTCACATACCAAGGTTTATTTTCTAGCTATCATCTATCAATCTGTCTATCATCTATCCCTATTATCGGTAACAGAAACCATAACTAACTATAGAGTTTGTTATTTTTATTTTTTATTTTAAAGAGAGAAAAAACAATTAAAATTGTACAGAATTTCAAAACAAGAGAAATACAAATAAAAACAATACTGAAATTCCATCTCACCCCAGAAAGAATGGCTATCATTAAAAAAATCAACCAACAAATTCGGAAGGCAAAAAGAAACACTTCTCCACTACTGGTGGGAATGTAGACTGGAGCAAATGCTATTGAAATCAGTATATAGATCCCTCAAAAAACTGGAATTAGAAGTCCTATTTGACCCAGCTATTCCCCTCCTGGGTATTTTTCCAGAAGAGCTGAAAACAGCACACCACAGTGATATGTGTGCACCCATGCTGACAGCAGCACAATTTGTCATAGTTAACTCTTGGAAGCAACCCAAATGCCCATCAACCAAGGAATGTACAAAACCGATGTGGTATTTTTATACAATGGAGTACTCCTTAGCTATAAAGAAGATAAACTTGATGTTTTCATGCATAAATGATTGTAACTAGAAACCATAGTCATGAAATAAACGAGACCAATGTGTGTAAACAGTGGATTGTCTCCATAGAGTAAGAAACTGAAAAGTAAATAAGATCTAAAAGGTTCAATAGGTAATTGTGAAAGGGAAAGAAAC